AGGGAGGCGTTGTGCAGCTGGTATGCACCGTGGTCCCCACCCAGAAGTACAGCGGGTGAGAGCCGGGGTGGGGGCAGCGAGGAAAGGGTGGACAGCCTCGTCCTAAGGGATTTTTTTTTAATGCGGCAGGGCAGGGTTGCCAACGTCTTCCACTGGCCTCAGCTCCTGTCTATTATTAAAGAAAATCTGCAGAGATTTTCTTGCTGACCTCTGACTTGGTGCAACCACGCTCCCCAAAATAAAGACTAGAAAATTTTTGTTAGTTGGCAACCCTGTTTTTTGGAGGGCTCCTCCTCCTCCTCTCTCTCCGCTTCCCTACGTATTATTATTTTTTGGGAAGGCTCCTGTGCCTTGGAAGGTCATGACTGACCGGCAGGAATTCAGGAGAGCCGTTTCTTCACATCTCACCGCTTGGGTTCCTGCAGCTGTTAAAGGAGCAGGCACCTTGCTAGGAAAAGCTGTTGGTGGTTTCTCCACACTCCACTCATGGCTTACCCTTTGCTGATAAGAACTGGGGCGTATCTGTTTAGTGGTTCACAGCTCTTTTTTTAAAGGTTTCATAGAGGGGGTGTGGCCTTATGACACACTTCCGGTTATGTCAGGGGGTGTGGCATATGCTAATGAGTTATGCTAATGAGCTCCCCTAGCTCTTTTTCTACGAAACGACCCCTGACTAAAGCACACAGAGATCTGCAAAGGTGAACTTCCTGGTGTGGAATACGGCCAGCCCCTGCCTCCAGCAACCTGCCTCGGCTGCAGAAGAGGCTCTATTTAGGTCATCAGAGTTGCCTAAAAATATTCCCTCGGGTTGTATATAGCTTTCCAAAAATAGGAAAAAGTAATGTTCTATATTCCAGAAACTTATTTCTGTGCCCTCAGAGGTCACTTAAAGGCTATTTGGTTTTAAATCGATATGTTTAAATGATGATAGAAACAGACCGATATGCCCTTTTTATTCAGAACGTTATCTAAATAATAGTGGGATTCTCATATATAAACCGAAATGCAACTCGGGCCTTTTTATTATTTTCCTCGGGTGGCTGGAGTCGTTGACTTAAATTGCCTCGATTTAGATCCAATTCCAAGCCACCCAGTTTTGAAAACCCTGAAAGGAAGAGAGTCTGTTGCCCACCTAAGTAGCTTGTTCTGGTGCTACCTGGGAAACTGAGCAATTCAAACCTACCGTCTCTGCAGTTTAAATCCATAGTTTCTTTCTGGCACAGTTTTGTTCTGGAAAGCAGCAAGCAATTTCCCCCTCTCTTCTTTCCTGAGCTCGTGTGTGTGTGTGCGTGTGTGTGTAGTGCTGTCAAGTCACTTCCAGCTTATGGAGACCCTCTGAATTAACGTTCTCCCAAATGTCCTGTCATTAACAGCCTTGCTCAGGTCTTGCAAACTGAGGGCCTTTGTGGCTTCCCTGATGGAGTCCATCTGTCTCCGCTTGGGCTTTCCTCTTTTCTGGAGAGCCAGCTGGGTGAGGTGGTCAGGGACGCAGACTCTAACCTGGGAGAAGGAGGTTTGATTTCCCACTCCCCCCACATTCAGCTGCTGGAGTGACCTTGGGTCAGTCATAAGTTCTCTCAGAGCTATTCTGGAAAGAGCCGTCCTTGAGAGAGCTCTCTCAGCCCCACCTACCTCACAGGGTGTCTACTGTAGGGTGGGGAAGGGAAAGGAGATTGTAAGCCGCTCTGAGACTCTTTCGGGTACTGAAGGGCAGGGTATAAATCCAGTCTCCTCCTCCTCCTTCTTCCTACCTTTGACTTTTCCTAGCATGATTGTCTTTTCCAGTGACTCATGTCTTAGGTTTCCCTTGCTCGAAAGCCAGTCGAATCCGACTCTAGGATTGTGGTGCTCATCTCCGTTTCCAAGCCGAAGAGCCAGTGCTGTCCGAAGATGTTTCCATGGTCATGTGGCCGGCATGACTAAATGCCAAGGCACATGGAACGCTGTTACCTTCCCACCGAAGCGGTACCTATTTATCTACTTACAATGTCTTGCTTTCGAACTGCTAGGTTGGCAGGAGCTGGAACTAGAGACGGGAGCTCACTCCATCATGTGGCACTCGGGTCTCGAACTGCTGAACTACTGACCTTCCACAGCCTGCAGTTCAGTGTCTTAACACTCATTTCTTATATGGCCTAAAACGGCAAGGGGTCTTTTTGCTGCAGACACACAGTTTTAGCTCATCTGCTCGCCACTGTCCCATGCATCTTCTCACAACAATCTAATCTACCCTGCTCCATTTGGCTCTCCTTTCTCATGTGAAACATTTGTTCTTCCGGAATTTGCAGCCTATTGCTAAGTGTGCTTACTCACAGATCTTCTCTGTGCAAACTGGTACGAATTCCACTGTTTGGAAAAGACAGGTTTGTATCCCCATGGCAACAGAGTGGATGCTTAAACGTAGCTTCTCAACAGCCGCGGGACAAACAAACAGAAATTAAACTTGCCTTCCTTTCATCCAGACAACAGAAGGGTCTGGATAATGATTTTGACAAGAGGAGAAAGTGAAGCCGCTTTCAGCATGATGGATGGAAAGCCAAAGCTTTGGAGACAGGGTGGGGGTGGAACAGGAGAAAAAGCCCCCCCCCCGAGACTGCTGATTTGCCGCAGAGCTGAAATTAATATTTGGGAGGAGGGTGACTTCCAGTGCAAATTCTCCGAAATGTATATTAATAGTTCCTCATCTTTAATTTAAAAAACTATTCCCAATTATTGATGCTGTATGTTCATTAAATGAAGAAGTGTACTAGTAATTACTTCACCGAATCGATCCTCAACGTTGCGGCCTATCAACAAGACTTCAGATTTTGCCTTTTTAAAAAAAGTATCCTTCAAAGTCAAATTCTGAAAGCAGCACCATCTTTTCTCAGTGTTTAGAAAATGCGGCAAGGCTAGAACAGTTTGGAAAGGCCTTGGTGCAGTTCGCTGTGTATTGCTGTCCCAACCCTGCAGAGATTTTGGGTGTCTCTGTAAGGCGGAGCTTTTCCAAAGTGTTTTCAGTGGTTTTTAAGTGCCAGTTATCACGAAGGGGTTAAACGGCTTGCTATAATTTTTTCATTTTTATTGTGTTTTCATGAAGAGAGATTTCTGCCAGTTATAATGATGCCAGCTGCTTTAAGTCCTGTTGATCAGGAGAAAAGAGGGATAAAAATAGTTTGGGGGATATTTATATAGATAAAATAAAATATGTTTAGTTGGCCCTAATAATTATAGTTTCTGTCAATCTGCTGATGCAAAAGTTTCATACTTGGTTCTTCTTTTACTAAGTGTATGTAAGGAAAGCACTGGGAATGTTTACTGTCTTCTGACAAGCAATATATAAATATTTTAAATGAATACACATAAAAATGTGTGGAAATTCAAAATGGGTAGATCGAAACGGAAAGTGAATCCTGCCCTTATGCCAAATGTAAGCAACATTTCATTCCTGACATAGAGGGATCAAGGTATGCATATAGCTTGGATGTGTGTGTGGGGGGGCCCTGGCCCATAGCTGCAGTGGGGCTACTGGGGCTCCGCCCCTTCCTTAAAGGGCCAGCCCCACAAGATATTTTTGAGAAGAACTGGGGTGGCGCATGCCCCCCCCCCGGCTTCTTCTCAAAAGCATTTAAAGGGATCCTTTAAATGCTTCTGAGAAGAAGCGGGGGATGGCGTGCACCCCTCTCCCTCCCCTCCTGCAAGATTTAAAGGGCCCCCCAGCTGGTTGACGGGCCACCTGCTCCCCACTGATCAGCTGAAGGGCCCTTGAAATCTAGCAGAAGGGGAGGAAGAGGGGTGGCCTCTGGTGGTGGGGCTTGGGAGGCGGGTTGGAGCTGACATAAAAATAATGGCAGCCCCACCAGCAAAACTTTTACCCCACAAGCCACAAACTCCTGGCTACAAGCCTTGGGGGGAGAGGACTGATCTGGTTGCAGTATCATTTGACAGTAGGGGACTAACGTCAGGACTTGAACCCACAGCAGACTCAGGGGGAAAAAGATTCTTTTACCCACGTGGATGGGGATTTAGACCGGAGGCCATCCCCCCACTTCTGATCAAAGGGAGGAACTTCAGGGAGACCGCAAAATGAAGCTGCTCAGCAACCGGCCAGCGCAGGGCGGGTGATGGTCCATGACTGCCAGAACAGCTTCAGGGTTGAGTTTGGTCACTAACCTGAGCCACAAGGAAACTCCAGTCCTACTGCCGGCTATGGAATTTCAATAGTCTTTTGGCCCTTGCCTGGCTTTCTGTCTCCCACAACAAGGATCTCCAACACGGTATCCACGGCGCCCGCTGAGACCTTTCCTGGTCTCACTAAGTGGTTTTAGAAAGTGGGCCACTTTTTGCCCAGCAAGGTTTCTGACTGGCCATTGAAGACCTGGATGGGTAGTGCAAATTTCCAATAAGTTGCTTTGGGGGCAGCTCCCCAACACAGCACGAGGGTCTTCACTGCATGACTGAAGGTAAGTTTGTGTACGCAAGAGAACGTTTTTACACAATATGCTTGTTTTAAAAGAGCACAGAGCTTCTGCCTGAAATGCTGAAGAGTTATTATTAGAGTTATTCAAGACCTCACTCCCTAAGGTTTTGCTGGCTCCGCTTTTTGTGGTGGCCATTTTGTGGTCATGCCTGCTCCCTCCACTGCCAGAATTCCAAAGGTGGCCACAGGCTCAAAAAGGCTGGGGACCTCTTTCCAACACCTTCCCTTGACGCCCCTTTAACTGGAACTATGTCCAGCCCCCAAGTTCCAGTCCCCGACTATCTCCGTTCTCTACCCATATTGTCCAATTTATACATACATACTTCTTTTTGCTACTCACCGAGTAAAGCTGCCACCTCGTATGCTTTCTTCTGCTCAATGGTCTCGTAGTTGAGGGCTTCGAAGAATATGTCCAACACAAGGATATTCTCCCTGCCAGGAAAAAAGAGAGGCAATCAGGAAGGAGTCAAGAGCAAGGAGTTCAATCCACTAAAACAAGGGCGTTTCCTGCTGCCATTGCATATTTTCTGGCAAGAGCTAAGAGACCTTGTATGCCCAGTGGGCAACCTGAGGGATGTTTATGTCTATGCAGGTCACCCTTCGGGCAGAGAAGGGCAGGGTGTGTGACAGTGGGCCCTGGGGTTTCTAAGCAAATGCTGCATACTATCCAGCCCTTTCCCGCTTGGATGTCCTGAAACATCCATCCAATTAGTGATGCAATGTGATGGGGTGCTGGGGGTGCCACCCACTTACAAGGGAAATGGGACTGAAATGCAACTAGAATGATTAAGGGGATGGAACACCTTCCCCATGAAGAAAGGTTAAAGAGGAAACTTTAGCTTAGAGGAAATGACGATTGAGGGGTGACATGACCAGTGTTCCCTCTAAGCTGAGTTAGCATGAGCTGGCTCACAGATTTTTGGCCTCCAGCTCACACATTTTTGTCTCTGCTCAGGAAGGAGGGCTCCAGAGCCAACTACTCTATGCAGCAGCCAAATCGCTCACTCACAACTTTAATGCCAGGAGCTCACAGATTCGAATTTTTGCTCACAGGACTCCAGTGCTTAGAGGGAACATTGGACATGACAGAGGTTTACAAAATTATGCACGGGACAGAGAAGGTAGAGAAAGAAGTCCTTTTCTCCCTTCCTCACAATACGAGAACTTGTGGGCACTCAATGAAATTAATGAGCAGGAAGCTGAGAACAGATAAAAGGAAGTCCTTCTTCACCCAAAGAGGAATGAACATGTGGAATTCACTGCCGCAGGAAGTGGAGGCGGCTACAAGCATAGACAGCTTCAAGAGGGGACTGGATAAACATATGGAGCAGAGGTCCATCAGTGGCGTACAGATCTGGCGTGATCTGGTCCATGGGGTCGCAAAGAGTCGACTCGACTGTGCGACTGAACAACAATAACAGATGGAATGCCAAGTCTGGGGCAGTGGTACTCTGTGTTCTTGGTGCTTGGAGGGCAACAGTTCTTGCCCTGCTAGTGGACCCCCTGAAGGCACCTGGAACCTGGGTTTTGGCCACTGTGTGACACAGAGTGTTGGACTAGATGGTTCATTAACCTGATCCAACATGGCTTCTCTTATGTTCTGACATTCTTATGGAGGTAGCTCAGTATAGACTCAGATACAGATCTTGCCAGAAGAAAATTAAACCTTTTAAGGTATATAAGTGGTGCCCTGACCTGGATAGCCCAGGCTAGCCTGATCTGTGCAGATCTTGGAAGCTAAGCAGGGTCAGTCCTGGTTCATACTTGAATGGGAGACCACCAAGGAATACCAGGCTCGTGATGATTGGGTAGGCAATGGCAAGCTACCTCTGAACATCTCTTACCTTGAAAACCCTACGGGGTCGCTGTAAGTTGGCTGCAACTTGATGGCACTTCCCCCCCCCCATATTGGAGGGGTAGATGGGAAGTTGGAATAACCAGGATATGACAGAAATGGCATGCAAATATTTTTAAGAACTAAATGGCTTTTTAGAAAGGGAAATAACAGATGTAAGCCGTTGCCAGTAATCCAAGGGCAAACCACACACAGATTTATGCCAGCGCACTAAAAAAAAAGTCCAGGATACTCCTGTGTATATTTATTACATTGTGAGATCTCATGCATGCCATTTCCTAATAACAGAACAAAGTTGGAGTGCATGGACATTAAAGCTTATATCCAGAATTAAACTGTGTTGGTCTGAAAGGTGCCATTGGACTCAAACTTTGTTTGTTTATTTATTTGTTTATTTTATTTGACTTCTATCCTGCCCTCTCCACATGGCAGGCTCAGGGCAGGTTATATCAGATTTAATAAAATACAATATATAAAATACAAAGGAATTGGTAAAAATACAATTAAAACACTAATAAGTTACAGCTATATCCTTCAGCCGGTGCAGTTGTCCCTAGAATTACGTCTCACAGATGCCATCTCTCTCTCTCTCTCTTTTTCGTTTTTTTTTTTTTTTTTTTTTTTTACAGATGCCAACTCTGGTAAGTAGTTCTGACCCACTGCGGGGAGACCCAGAAAAGAGGGAGGGACATTCGTCACTCTAGTTAAAAGCCTGGTGAAAGAGCTCCGTCTTGCAGGCCCTGCAGAACTGTAAAAAGTCCTGCAGGGCCCTGATCTTGTATGGGAGCTCATTCCACCAGGTAGGGGCCAGGGCTGAGAAGGCCCTGGCTCTAGTCGAGGCGAGACGGATGTCCCTGGGTCCAGGGAACACCAGAAGGTGTTGATTGGCAGATCGTAAAACCCTTTTGGGCTCATAGAGGGAGAGGCGGTCTTGCAGATATGCCGGCCCTTGGCCATATAGGGCTTTAAAGGTAAGCACCAACACCTTGAAACAGACCCGGTACTCAATGGGCAGCCAGTACAGTTCGCACAGCATCGGGCGGATGTGGGCCTGCACAGGGAGCGACATCAATACCCTCGTGTTCTGTTGCTTCAGACCAACACGGCTACCCCATCTGAATCTAAATTCCTATTATTATTGTATGCTGCCTCGAACCACAAGGACAAGGGGGTGTCATGATCTGGGCTGTGCTACCAGAGGCCTACTAGGCCCAGAGAGCCTGGCTAGCAGTAGGTAAGGCTGGGCCTACAACTCCCAGAAGCCCCTGGGAGGTTTTGGAGCCAAAATGGACCAATAGGAAAAGAGGAGGGCTTAGAATAAAAGTTCTGGAGCAGCAGGAAGAGCTGTTCTTTCTTCCAGAGGGCAGAGCCAGAAAGAAGGCTGCTGCAGGGGAAAAACCCTCATCCTGAGGGAGGGGTGAGTAGTGTAAGCCCACTTGAGGTAGTGAGCTAGGGAAAGTAAATTTAGATGTGTTAGGGCATTTGATTTCTTTTATTTTCACCCACTTACTGTTATTATTCTGCACCTTGTTGTTTGACCTCCTATAAAATAAACCTTTTCCTTGTTTTATTCTGCCTGGTTCTCACGCCTGTTATTCGGCCTACAGGGAGGTCTGAAGGTCTTGGGGGGGTGCTCTGGGCCTTCTCAAGGGAACCTAAATCCAGAGTGGTGGCAGCGTCAGGTGACACCCCACCTGAGCTGTGACAGGGGGGTATAAATGTTTGTAATAAATAGATTACATAAATAGAACCTGCAACAGCCAGTATTTGGGCTGCAGAAACTTTATGTCTTATTGATTAACATATCAATTAAATTGCCTATTTTAGTTATGCAAATGGTTTTCTTACACTAGCTCTGTTTTGATCTCTAGCTCTAAATTTTTGCACAGTTTGGGTCATTAATTTTAACATGTAGCTGGCCCTGAACTAGGATATGGTGGTTTAAAACTTGATTAACTTTGCATTTGAGCCACCTAAGGTACCAAAATCCTGACTTCATCCTCATCGGCAAACTTGCCTTGCGACTCAGCCAACAGCCACCATATTCTGTGTTGTTACCCCGTAATCCAGAGCTTCTGCATGGCTTATTTAACTTGTTATTCCATCCCTATTTAGACCGGGTTTTCTTACAAGAGCCCTGCCTGGATAGCCTAGGGTAGCCTGATCTCATCAGTTCTTGGAAGCTAAGCAGGGTCAGCCTTGGTCAGTATTTGGATGGGAGACTACCAAGGAATTCCAGGGTCATTAAGTAGAGGCAGGCAATGGCAAACTGCCTCTGAATGTCTCTTGCTTTGAAAACCCTACGGGGTCGACGGCAAATAAACAAATAAATAACTCTTACGAGATGTATTTTTCTGACTTGTTGAACTTCTTCTCGAGGTACTTGGCTGACGTCTTGCTGGGGATCTTGACCATGGAGAGCTCCTTGTTGTAGCGGGTCACATTGCAGGGTGTTTGGCACACACAATAACTGCTGTCCTTTTCACCAAGAAGGCCTGAAAAGTGAAGTAGGAATCAGGTAAATGGGGGTACCACCTGATGATGCACGTGGACAGGAAAGGTGGCCATGTTGGATCAGATCAAAGGCCCATTTCTGTGTCTAAAGAAGAGCCAGGCCACAGGTTTTTGTGTTGCAGATTGGCATTTGAGGTGGTGAGGCAACAATTTGGCCAAGGATAAGCAGTGGCCTGTATCTGACCACTATATTCTGGAAAGTTTGATGCCTTCTTCTCACCTAAGGAGACCTCCTCCAATGGAAGACCATCCTAGGTCAGAGGAAGAGTCCTTAGGCTAGACTGGAAGGCATCAACCTTTGCTGAAGAGAGTGGTAGGATACAAGCCAATCATTCCATGACTGAGAAAAGACTGGAACTTTGACCTCCTCGATCCTAGTGCAACTCCTTGATCACCCAGGATCTAATCTCTGTCCAAATACCAACCCTTCTGGGAATCCCATCAAAATGAAATGTCACACAAATTTGAAATTTTGCAACATTTCTCAAAAGACAAAACTATTTCAATCTTGCTTTCGAAATCCGACTGAATGGTACTTTTGAATCTGCAGCCTGGGTGATGAATTGTGAGGCAGTAGCTTTAACCTTGCCTTGACCTGGATAACCCAGGCTAGCCCGATCTCGTCAAATCTCAGAAGCTAAGCAGTATTTGGAAGGGAGACCAACAAGGAATACCAGGGTCATGATGCAGAGGCTGGCAATGGCAAACCACCTCCGAATGTCTCTTGCTTTGAAAACCCCATGGGGTCACCAAAATCCCTTTAAATGGTGTTTTTCAAGTAGGGGCTGCCCTCGCCTGAACTCCAAGCGTGCAGGGAAACAGTTGCCCCTCTCCCTCACCTCCTGATCAGCTGGAGGACCCTTTAAATCTTGGAGGAGGGGCGGGAGAGGAGCAGCTGCAAGATTTAAAGGGCCCTCCAGCTGATCGATGGGCCATGTGCTCCCGCCGATCAGCTGGAGGGCTCTTTTAATGTCACAGGAGGGGAGGGAGGGGGGAAGCAGCTGTTGTGGGGCGTGCCTCACATTTGAGTGGGCAGAGCCCTGAAATGCCCCACTGTAGCTACGGGCCTGGTCGTCATAAATCAGCTGTGACTTGATGGCAAACCCCCCCAAAAACCCTTTAACTTTCCCCACCCCTAAATCCAATGGCATCCATAACTGGAAATGTCAGGACAGTGGGAATACACATCTGAAATTTTGCAAGCAAATGCATGTTAGAATTTGTGTGACGATCTACTCCTCCCCTCACCCTCCCATTCCAAATTCTTTTTCACCATCACAAGTATCAAGGCTTCATTTCTGAAGACACAGATGATGTGGCTGCTCATGAAACCCAGAGAAGCAGACAGCACGGACAATGAGGAAACCCGTTATCCTTCACCACTCACCTAGGGCAGGCTCTGCACATTCTTTATACTGCTCTGGCGTGCAGAATGGAGCATCCCCTGAATAAAAAGAGGAAAACACATGCGGCCTATTTTTATGTGAGCTTAGCAAAGATTGCAATGATTTTAGCTGTTGCAGATTTTCTGGGTTGTATGGCTGTGGTCTTGGCACTGTAGGACCTACATTTCACCAGTAGTTGTGAATGGCATCCTCAGAGGTATAACACAGAAAGATGGAGTACAATGCAATGATTTGTTCAAAAACGTGATTTGTCATTTGGTCCCCCAACACACAAAAAGGACAAAAAACAAAAATACCCCCTCCTCCAAGTTAAATGCACTGATTCGTACAAAAATTTGATTTGCCAGTTGATCCCCCAACATGCACACAGACACACACACACACACAAAAAAAAACCGGACAAAAAGAAAACTACCACCCTCCACCCTCTGTGTCCAATGCAAACTTTGAAACCTTTATAGCTACTGGTTGGAAAAGTTCTGGCTTTGGTATGCTGAAATGAGATCTCCCCAGCGACTGGCTTATCTACTAAGCCGCTATGGAATGTTTACAAACAGTTTCAATTTCAATTTATTTCTACAGTCCTTAGACCAGTCATTAAACAGTTTAATTGCTTAGAAGTATCTTTAAAAAAATACCTGCCTAGCATAGGGACCAGATAAAGTTAGTGGTGGGAAGGGACGCAGAGAAAGGAGTGCTCTCTCATTCACACATTTGTAGTCGACTCTTAGACTGAGTGTGTCAACTGCTTGCATGTAAGAAAAGGTGACACATGAAAGGCTGTGTATGAGCTGAAGGAATGAATGCAGAAGGCACAGTACATTTGTACTAATTCACGCTTTTCAAGTTGGATATATGACTTCAGTCGTTTGCATCGTCCTCTCTCAGTAAATAGAGCTGGCTTGAATCCAACACAATTTCCTTGGGTGGGGAAAATAGGCACTGCACTTATTAAATGAGCTATCTGAGCAGAAGGTGTTAGATCACTGCAACAGCCTTACAGCTACAGTCAGTTATCTCAGACAGTGATGGGGACAAGAAAACTAGCTTGTCCTGGATGCAGCCCATCGCCTTAAAAAAGCTGCTAAGCCAGAGCCGTGGTGAGTTACAAGCTGAGGATGTGCTGGAGCATTTCAAAGGCCAGTTCAATGTTTATTGAGGAAAGTCAAGCTAGAGCGACTTTAATGTGGTTAAAAAAGAAAAAAGACAAAAGAAATCATTCTTTGAGCCCAAACAACTGGACCCAAGCCTGCTCTTGTCCTGATTCTGGAGCTACAAGGATGCAGAGGGCGATTCACCTCCCCAGTTCCGGTGACACAGGGGAACGACAATGTAACCACCCACGCCACAAAAGAAGCCTGTTGAATCTCAGCAAGCCAGAGAAGGCTACGACCTGGTTCTTGAACAACAAAAGTACAAATTAGGCTTGATTTCTGGTCAGAACAAAAAAAGGGGGGGGATTGTGCCACTAGGGCAGCTCTACCTAATCCTTGCCGCAGACGACGATGATGACAACTTCTTCATTTGATGTATTCAGGGGTCTTGTTGTAGAAAAAGAGCTGCCGGAGCTCATTAGCATAACTCATTAGCATAACTTATTTGCATATGCCACGCCCCCTGACATCACCGGAAGTGACAGAAGGCCACACCCCCTGACATCACCGGAAGTGTGTCAGAAGGCCCGGCTACTTACCCTCCTGCTTCATCCTCATTCCCAAACGGAATGAGGATCGAAGCAGAGGGCGGGGTAAAGAAGGGGCGGGGACCGGCCACTTAGTGGGAGGGGGAGAGGGAAACTTAAAATGAAATATACAGGGGGAGAGATAAAGGGTGCCAGTCAATGCAGCCAATCATTGCTGCCCTGAACCAAAAGCCTGGTGGAACATCTGCCTTACGGGACCTGCGGAATTGCACAAGGTCCCGCAGGGCCCCGGTGTCATTTGGCAGAGAGTTCCACCGGGCTGGGGCCAGGACCGAAAAAGCCCTGGCCCTGGTCGAGAACAGCCAGACATTCATAGGCTTGGTTCCTCCCTGGCCAGATTCAATATCGCCTCACTCCCAGGGCCTGCCCTGGACTTGGCACAAGTCAGCTCTGACACCAGCGGCTTCTGCATGGCCTGTTGCTGCTCATCTCCAGAGACGTACCAGGCATGTGAACCATCCGGCAATTGCAGTTTTCTACCACGTAGCGGGTCTCGCAGTCAATCCTGCAGGCGGTGATGCTGTAGATGGGAAAGAAGTCCAGGCCGTAGTCGGAGGAGCGGCACTCACCCCACGGAGGCGGAAGGTACGTCAGCTTTGGGGGGGAAGGGAAAGACACCCTGATCAGCATGTGTCAAGAAGGCATCTCTGAAACAGAACACCTGAGAACATGCAAGATATCACTCCCCCCCCCCCATGGCCACATTGATTCCAGTTTAATATTGCTGGCACAGTTCTTTCAACAATCCCAGTCCAATCCTAAACATTCTGCTTGGATGGAGGTCCCATTACATTCAGTGGGAACTGCTGCCTGGTAAACATGCTTAAAATGACAGCCTTGAGCTCAGACAGACAACTGATGCCTTGTTCAACACACAGATTGCAAACTGCAGCCTCGGTCTGCCTGGGGATCATGCAGGGCAGGGAGGCGGGCTTTAACCCTTCAGACTCCAGCTTTTTAAAACCCTTTTATATAGAAACATTATACAGAAACATTGTAAGCATGGTTTGTATTAATTTGATTCACCATGGAGAGCAAGAATTCCCCAAAAGCACCATGCCAGGAAGTGCCTCCAAATTCAGGAAGAGAAACAGCTCTTTTGTTGTTGTTGTTCGCTTTTCAGGCTTTCAAATGAGTAACCGTTTGCGAGCAGATGGGCTAGTAAAACGTTTTAGGGGCTAGTAACCTCCTTATTTGGAAGGTGCCAGCAAACTAAGAGTTTATTATGCATTGGGGAGAAAATATACTGAAATGAAGAAGGAAGATGATGGTAAATATACAGATGCATTTTAAATAGGAGTATTCTGAAATGGCTGGGCAAATTATACCTGACATGCTACTGTATTTAACTGACTCCTGAATTTTAAAACTACTCCCCCCTCCCAAAAACAAAAAAAAAAGTACTGTAGACTACAGCCGAAGCAAGCTTTTGCACAAACTGGGATTCTGAAACGAGGATTCCCATATGCAGATTCATACTGGATGAGGGATACACTTCTGAGTAGCAGTGTGTATGAACAAGATCTTGGGGCACCGGTGGACCATAAGTTAAATATGAGCAGCCAGTGTGATGCAGCAACAAAAAAGGCTAATGTGATTTTGGGTGTAGCAACAGAGGCATAACATCCAAATTGCAAGATGTCATAGTCCTGCAGAACACAGGATTGGTCAGGCCACACCTGGAGTACTGTGTGCAGTTCTGGAGGCCTCACTTCAAAAAGGATGTGGACAGAATAGAGTGGGAGAGCAATGAGGATGATCGGGGGCCTGGAGACCAAGCCCTGTGAGGAAAGGCTGAGGGACTTGGGAATGTTCAGACTGGAGAAGAGAAGGTTAAGGGGGGACATGACCAATTTTCCCTCTAAGCGGTGGAGTCTTGTGAGCAAAAATTCTACTTTGTGAGCTACTGGCATTCAAGTTGTGAGTGAGCAATTTGGCTACTGCATAAATTAGTCTGCTCTGGAGCCGTCCTTCCTGAGCGATGACGAAAATCTGTTAGCCGGAGGCTAAAAAACTGTGGGCTAGCTCACACTAACTCAGCTTAGAGGGAACACTGGACATGACTGTTTTTTTTAAAGTATTTGAAGGGCTGTCACTTAGAGGAGGGCAGGGAGCTGTTCCTGTTAGCAGCAGAGGAGGGGACTGGCAAGAAAGGGTTTAAATTAAGGGCAGGAATATAAGGAAAAAAAATTACAGTAAGAAATGTTCAACAGTGGAATCAGCTTCCTAGGGAGGTGGTGAGCTCCCCCTCACTGGCAGTCTTTCAGCAGTGTCTGGACAAGATGGCCTGTGTGGCCCCTTCCGACTCTGTGATTCTATGATTCTAAGTTCCAATCTTCCCTGACTTAATTCCAGCTCTATGAATAAAAGAGTAACTTGTCCCCAACTTTTAAATTGCCAGATTGGCCGAGAGAGGAGGCCTGTGCTGAGGGCTGTCATGAGACCCCCTCAACATCTGGTAGCAGCAGCAGCACCAGCTCAAAGGGCGAGGTCTGAGGGCGTTCTTGGGGACACTCCTCCGTGGGAGAATCAAGAATTTCCCTGTGACAGTGACAAAGTGCCGTCAGAGGGCCTCCATGCCTCATTTGTGTTCCTCCAGCAAGATAATAGCGAGGCATCTGCTGCCGTTTAGTCATCTGGAGTGGGGAGCGACACCCATATGTTACAGACGGTATGATAAGAGAGAATAAATAATCGTCATCTCTGATGACCTCGGCGTCTGCTTCAGCCCCGCTTTCCAAACAAATCTTTTCCGTTATTTCAATCGCCGTATGCTGCCGTGTAGGTGACGGGACTGGAAATGATGGAATGATCACACATTCGGTTTCGGCGCTTCTCTTGCTTAGCCAGCCTTGGCTTTGAGCCACATCCCTTCCGAGTTGGGCCCTGACGTCTGTGGGGAAAGCACAGCCTGAATGCTTAATTGCACCCTCCTTGGATGTGTCTTGGGTGACAGGAGTGGTCAAGTTTGCTTTGCTCTTGCCGAAACTCTGTGCTGCTCCGCGCTCACTCTTCTCTTTGGCCCGATGGTACGTGTCAATTTCACACAAGCTGCTGCGACCACATTTTGCTCCGCAGCTTCCTGCAATTTCCCCCGCCTCTACTCAATCCTGTTTTTTGAGGATTGAGTAGACGCGGGGAAAATCGCACGAAGCTGCAGGGCAAAATGGGCCGCACACGTACCATCGGGGCAAAAGGGAGGAGTGAGCGCGGAGCAGCGCTTGTGGGAAATCACTCTCTGATTCTAGGCCTGGAGATCGTCTTCTCCAGCGTACGGTCCTGGGCGACAGTTACTGGAGGCAGTGCCTGAGGGGCAGCAGGCACAACGTTCAGCTCTGTTGGCCAAGCAAGGCCCAGGCACCTTGTATTTACGCCAGGCCTAGCCAATCCTTATGCCTTGTACTGCTTGCCATTTGCAGGGATCCATGTTGACATCATTGTAACCTTTTCTGTGACTGAAATTTACACAGTCCTTGCCTTAAACTGCACACGGTCTTATTTGTACAGCTTAGCCAAAACTTCTGAACATGAGACCCTTCAACAAATTTAGAGAAATTTAGGGTGCAGGGATTCTGGCGATGGCTTGAGCAGGCTGGAATCAACAAGGACTCTAAAGCTGAGAAAGGTGGAACACCAACCCTTGAGTAGAACAAAATGGGTAGCTGTGTTAGTCTGTAGCAGCTCTCCTCCCACCCCAAGCGAGGCCCGGCGGCTTGTAGCCGGCTGGGTCTCGCGCCCCCCCCCGCTCGGCTCTGAGGCGGCGGCTCCGAGGCTGGCTGCAGAGCGTTCCCTGCGCATGCACAGGGGACGCTGTCAGTTTCGGGGGGATTGAAGTATCCCCCGATATTTTTTTTAAGTTTTCAGATTTTTGTGCACACCTGGGGACCGTCCCAAGTGTGCACAAAAATCTCCCTACCCCCCAGGTGCCCCTGGTGCGCAGATTTAGGTATCCGCACGCACGGGGGCACTTTGCTATTAGATATATAGATTTATTTATTATTCATTTATCGAGTCCATTTTTATACTGCTCTCCTGCCACAGAGTTCAGGGTGGTGCCACACACAATTCTCCCTCCTTCCATTGTATCCTCCTAATAACTCCATGAGGTAAATTAGGCTGAGAGAGACCGATGTTCCCAAGGTAGCCCAATAACCATCACCGCAAGTGGGGACTTGAACCCAGCTAGATTTTCTAACAGTGAGAGATGGTCAGCCATAATGCAATACAGTGGCCCAGACTGGCCACTGGACCACCCGCATATCACAACAGGCCTGTGCTTAGCTACTCCCACGCTCACTTGTAGTACGGACTAGCAACTGGATCATCATCATGAGCAACTATCATAGGTTTTTGCAGACCAGGACAGATAAGCTACTAAAAATCCTTGCAGACTAACAATGTCTGTCTGTTCAATAAATCTCATCTTTCATCCTCCAAAGAGCTCAGGTTGGCGTACTTGGTTCTCTCTCACTCTTTTATCCTCATAACAACCTTGTGAAGTAGGCTAGGCCAAGAAAGAGTATAACTGGCCCAAGGTTACCCAGGAAGTTTCTTGACAGAGTGGAGACTTGAATCTGGGTCTGTCGGATCCTTTAAGACCAACAAGTTTTACTCAAGATATAAGCTTTTGTGTGCACGCAGACCTGTGTTTGCACACGAAAGCTTATACCTTGAATAAAACTTTGTTGGTCTTAAAGGTGCCACTGGACTCAAACTTTGTTCTGCTGCTTTGGACCAACATGGATACATACATGGACGGTAAAAAAGTTAGATCTGAGTCCAGGGCTGCATCACACACACAAAATAATCCACTTTCAATGTACTTTCCAACTGGATTTTACTGTGTGAGCTGGCAAAATCCAGTTGGAAAGTGGACTGAAAGTGGATTATTTTGTGTGTGTGTGATCGCAGCCCAGGAGTACCTTAGAGACCAATGAGAGTTTCACAGTATAAGCTTTCGAGAGTCAAAACTCCCTTCATCAGACACGAGTAGACTAGAAATATAGACCCAAGTCCTTTTACCCTAGTCAGAAGGGGGGTGTTGTAAAGAATACTTTAAAGGATGCAAAAGGTGCCATGGATACTGTAATCCGACTGACGAGAGAAGAAGGGAAACCTTTGGGGAGAAAAGAATCCTATGTCCCTATTTGTCCGATTCCCCATGCATTCAAATAAATCCACGTTTGAAGAACAAAGTAGAGTTTATTATAAAGCGATGATAGATCAGAACACAAACATTGTTAGGAATAACTACAAGCCCCCTAAGGGAACATAATAAAGGAACTTTGAACCAGGTGAGAACCAATGAGCCCACTTCCCGCTGGCGGGAAGACAGATAAAACGAGCACCCAATTCCTTGGGAACACAACGGTTCTGTAACATAAACACCAGTTCAGTTCACAGGCATGATATACATAATAAGCCAAGCTATGCCATCACTCCATCCCACCTCCAGCTGGTTGACCTTGAGCAGTTCCGCAGATGTAGCAGCAAAAGATAGTAAACACCTACACAGGAAAGTACACGGGGGATGGGCAGGGTGCAAAGTAACACAGAATATGAATACAGCATCTTATGGCAGCTTGCTGACACTA